TAAATAATTTACAACAGGAAGTAATTGCTATTTTAAAAAGCCCAGAGATTGGGCAAATTAAAATAATTCTCAGCCATTTTGGCCCACCAAGTGCAATATATGTGACCTCCAATGATTTTTCAACAATATTTTCAGATAACTGGGATGTTTTTAGATCTACCAAATGGCATTATGTAGATTTTCTACCTTTTTCTCCTTGAAAACTGTATATTAAAACTGAATATTGGAATGTTTCTGTTACCTAAAATTTAACTCAGTTATTTTTATACCAGAGAGGCCCAAAGCGATCTATTCAGTTAATAACATGAAATAATTTCAAAACTGCATGAAGATAATTAATTAAGAATAATAGAGAAGCAAAAGCATAAAGAGCTAATTTATTTTCAAATGTACCACTTTTCAGGCTAAAAAAGTATCATATGCTCCCTGATGGTATCAGCAAGAGATTTCAAAGTTATGTAAAAAAGTGGAGAATATGCAGCATTTCTGCCTAAGTCCACAATATATTTTAAATCAGGACATTATATCAAATCTTGTGTCCAATAGCATATTGTGTTTGGAGACCAAAGTAGCAAGCAATGCCCGACAGATTCTATTCCTTATCAGATCTCTTTACTACTAAAATTCTCATGTCTGTAACCTTCAACTGGGTGAAACGGTGCATCATAGGATAACAATTTTTGAACCAAGGTACCTCAAATTGGCTAACTTACAGAATCCATGCAAAGTCTCGGACCCATTCCTCCTGAAATTTGTGGCTGCTTCAGCACTGTTGTGCTATTGCACTGCTGTCCAGGTCATGTGATCGTCATGGGCATACCCCCGACCTCTTTCCCACCTCCTTTGTCCCCTGTGCCCAATCAGCTGGTGGCAAAGCCTGTCAGGCGAGTGGCGAGTGGCTACTTTGGAAATGAGGCAAAAAATAAAATCTCTTAATGGCTTTGGGCATTGAGGGAAGGATGAGGGAGCAACTTAGTTGCCTCCTGGTTAGGTAGGGCTGGCTGGAGGCACCAGTGGTTGGTGGGGGGAGCCCTCTTCCTCCCTCAAGGGAGGGGCCCTTGGAGACATGCCAGAATGGGGAGTGGGGGTGCAGTTTTCCTCATGGTCCACAGCTCCCTTTGTTCCACCTCCCCCCAGCAAAGTGGCAGGCAGTTCCGTGGGTCAGTTGAAGAGTAGGAGGAGGCTTCACCAGGGCTCTCCTGAGGGTCATCGGGATGGGGGTGGGGCAAATGGCACAAGCCTATATTATATGTGGGAAGGAAGGAAGGAAGGAAGGAAGGAAGAAAGGAAGGAAGGAAGGAAGGAAGAAAGGAAGGAAGGAAGGAAGGAAGAAAGGAAGGAAGGAAGGAAGGAAGAAAGGAAGGAAGGAAGGAAGGAAGAAAGGAAGGAAGGAAGGAAGGAAGAAAGGAAGGAAGGAAGGAAGGAAGAAAGGAAGGAAGGAAGGAAGGAAGGAAGGAAGGAAGGAAGGAAGGAAGGAAGGATTTGTAATGCTCCCTGCCGCTTCCCACAAGCAAAGCCAGCAGCAAGTCGCAAGTTGCTCACACTCCCACTGCTTTTTTGCCCTTGGTCATTCTGTTTCTCTGTTTAGGTAAGGAAATATCTCTGAATCAATGACCCAACAGGCCATGGGTTGTCTAGTAAAGCGCTATGAGAACAGGAGGTTTTGTTTGGCATAAGACATGAAGATACAATTAGGTTGAATTGAGTATGACATGTTGTTAAGAGCAATGTCTGTTATTGTAGAAATTATCTAAATATCCATCTGAATAAGATATATTGGTGTATAATGCACAAAATAATATGGGGCATTATGAAGTATATGCAATACTGATGCATTATTATTATTATTATTATTATTATTATTATTATTGCCAAATAGCATTGACAAAAAGAAGAAAATATTGGAAATTAATATCCTGATAATGGATGTTTTAATTGTCTATTTCGCACTTACATTAGTGGGAAGTTTTAGGATATTCTTGCTATACTTCAGGCACTCGGGAGCAGATGGAATAGCACCTTTACATAAACCTAAGAAAAACATTTCCAATGGAACTCATATCTCTCTCTGTGGAATCTTCAGAATCTTTAAATAAACTATAATAAGGTACTGCAGATATTTTTTTGAAAGAATAATATTAAAAATCTTTTAAGTCTATAGGATGACAATTTTTCCAGATCCAGAGGAATGACTAGGTACAAGGCACTTGTCTTTGAGTTTGAAAATGAGTTGCTCCTAACCTAACATCTCATATTATGCATTTCTTGAATTCTGAACCACGTATTTCGTCCCGCAGCCTCAGCCTATTTGCTTAAGAAGTTGTGACCTATTGAAAAAAAAAATAGAGAGAGAGTAGTAGAGCATAATGGCATACTTACTCTGATTTTTTTAAAGATCTACAAAGCTTTGAAGAAAGACCAGATAGCTGAAATAAATTGTTTGTTGAGTGAGTCAACACAAATGTGCCTATATAAGCATCAGGCTGCTAACATCTCAGAAAGCAAATACCACTAACCTGAAGGAATAATAATATTTACCTGGTAGACCTGCTTCAATGCTCAGAGAACTATATTGTTTCAGCTTCTTTGTCAGACTTGCTTGTTGCCTTACTTTATTTGGATTTACCAATGAGAAGAGCACACGGATCTCTTCTACCTTCCACTGAAGGCATCTTTTCAGAATTCCACAATATTTAGAAAACTGCACTTAGAAAATACAGCTAAGCAAGAAGCCAAAATAATGTATCGTTTAATGGTAATCTTATTAAAGATTATAATTACAACAATAAAAACTAATACAAACTTAAAGAGTAGAAGGTGCAGAAAAGAAAAAAAGGAAAAATAGAAAAAGAAATAGAAATAGAAAAGTAAGAAAAGTAAGAATATAGTAAAGAAAAAGAAAAGAAATATATAAGGAAGTGACTGACCATCTTAATCACAAGTATAAACAATTTTAATAACTTATCATCTCCTCTTAAAATACAACAAATGATCTCTTCTTCCCATATCCCATCTCTTATCTGTAAACAAATCCATAAAGCATCGTCATTTCATTCCTTGGGTCAGCAAAAGTCCATTAAGGGATACCAGAGATAACAACATATCTATTTTAACCTTGATCAAATATACCAACGTTATATTCCTTCCATTTATGTCTAACAATCTTAGTCCCTTCAAATAATGTCCTAGAACTTGATTTCTTTTCTTTTTCCTTTGTCCCTTCTCACAAGATTCTTCAGAACTTTAACAAGCCTCTTTTGTAAATCCAATATAGGAAAATTATCCAGGTCACTCTCATGGTTTATTGTTTGTATATCATTTTTAATTATTAAGACATTAGCCAATTTCTTTTGTATATCCAATGTAACATCTTTTTCCATGTCATTCTTATAGCCTATCATTTGTAAATTCACTTTCAACTCAGTCTCGATCTTGTCACGGATCTTGTTCCTCGTCCGTTACATCTTTTAGACACAGTCTCTCCATAGAATCAGATGTCTCTGCTGATACTATTAATATTACTTCTGAATCCATTTTTCAAAAATATCCTTCAGTATGGCCAATATTTTGCTCCATTCTGTAATTGTAAGTCAAGTTTATGTGTTCTTCTCCTTTAATTGTAACCTTTAGTTCCGTCTAGTGTCCAATTTTTAAAATATCATTATGTTTTTTAGCAAAAAATTCAAAACATTATGTTATGTTTCTTTTTTTTTTTTTCCAGAACAAAAGCATTTTCCCACAGGAAGGATTCTTTATAATGAATTCCAAAATCTTATTTCAAATTTATCTAGACTCTTAGTCCATTTGTAACTTTCTAAAATCAAAGTTTTAATCACACTTTTGCTGTTTATTATAATTTGTTTTTTGATTCTTAAACTTACAGTTAAAATTTTCTTTCACTAAGGATTGAAGGATTTACCCTGTGCTGTAAAATGTGTCAGTTCACAGGTTCCTATTAACTGAAAAGCAGTTAACAAGCAATTTCTGAAAATGATTAGAAAAGGAAGTATGCAAACCCAGTATCCCTTCAAAGGGGCTGACCATAGTTTGAGCAAGATGGCTATTCCCTTGTCTCCCAGAGTTTGAAAACTGCTGGAGACGACTGTCTTGCGATCTCCTAGTGAGGAGCAGCTGTCTGGAGCACTTGTGGGCAATATGAAGTCCTCTCTTTGTCCAGAGAGTTTCGAAGAGCCAGTCTACTTGCTGGCTCTTCATTCTTTGCCGCGGTTGTCAGTTCCACTTTTTGTGGAGCATTCTTCAGTCCGCCATTTCTTCCGGAAGTCCATATTCTGTTAAAATCCTTAATGTTCTTTGAATATAGTAATTTTTCATAGCAATTCTTCTTTGCCAGGGCAGCCTGTACGCTCTCTATTTTGCTTATAGAAAAACTGTAAAGGTGACTTGATCAATCTAAACTATAAAATGTAAACAATAATTAAACATTAGCATTACTATTGCAAATGCCTGCTATTATTAAATATAAATTACTAAAACTATATAGAAGAAACAATATTGCAATATAAAACATGAAATAAAATGTTGTAAATATTAAGTGACTTAGACCAGTGTTTCTCAGCTTCAGTTGCTTTAAGATGTATGGACTTCAACTCCCAGGATTCTAGGAGTTGAAGTCCACACATCTTAAAGTGGCTGAGTTTGGGAAACACTGACTTAGACAAAGGCACACAGATGTAAAAGCAGAATCATGGGTACAGGGTCTATCTGATCTACTAATCTACTGACTCTCTTGCTGGCAGTCAATTCTCAGTGGGTTTTACACAATGCAGCATAAAAGCAATTTTATATGTTATAGTAGAATTATAGTCTAAGAGTAATAAATGGGCATTAGGCTTGAGCTATACAATCTGGAAATCTTTAAGTAATAGGGATATAAGAGCATCTCTATCAAATGAACACTGAAGAAAGACATGTTCAAGAGACTCAACTTTCCCATATAACAGGGCATCACACCATATCAGAGTCAAGGCCTGTCACTGTATTTTGGATACTAATTTCATAAGGCAGGCTACAAACTTCACTGCTGATGATAAGGAGATTTGAATCCTAGTTAGATAAACCTGCTTCACTGCTCCAGCACAGAGGTGACCTAATTAAATCCAAGGGTCAGCAAATAGAATGGATAGAGCCCTTGAGAATCTAATTTCATCATCAGACTGGAATCTATCTTCCAAAGATAGATAAGAGAGAGAGAGTTTTAGCTAGTAATTTAGTATAGATAGCCATGTATAGGGTCTACTTTTATTATACCAGCCTCTAGATACAGGCCAACATTTGGGTTACAGCAAGGGGCCTAGAATGCTGATCATAAAAATATACATTGGACTTACTCCAGCAAGCCAAAGTCAAGCACTGTAGAGCATTTGGGTAATGTTTTTGCTTTAAAGCAGGTATAGATTCAGTTCTCACCCCACCCCACATTTTTTTTCTTTTTAAAAAAATGAAAAGGATAGCAGATATAGTCCTTTGATTACTTGGGCAGAATAGAAGGTATGAGATCTCTCACTACTGGAAATATGAAAAACCAGCCAGAAATATTTAAGTGCCCATCTGTATACAGTCCTGACTCTTATGTCTCCTGAAAAAACTCATTGTTTTCTTCTTTTGATTATTAATTTAAATTTATCTTCCTTGCAGATTTGTCTAAGGGCCTTCAGTGTTGTTCTGAAACCTATTGTAATACTGGATAATAGAATCATATCAAGTACACATAATATAATGGAAACTAATTTCTCTCTTGACAAGAGGGTGAAAGTCCAAATGTGTAAGGTAATCTACCAAGTCATTTGTATAGAAGTTAAACAATAAATGGGGCTATGGTACGTCCCATTTAACTTTCTTTATTGTTGGTACAGCAGATGTTAAATGACTATGGGATTTACATCTGACCTTCAGCTTTGTATCTTTTTTGAAGATTACAAATTAGAAGTAGCAGACATCAGTCAGTTGGGAGGGTTGCAACTTCTACCACAATTTATCTTGACAAATAGTGTCAAATGTTGATTTAAAATCAATAAAAGCTGCATACTGGGAAATTGTAGGAGAGGTAGACTATTTCTCTATTATATGCTAGAGGACTGGCCCTTGGTCATAGTAGACTGGTCCTCCTTGAAGCCAGCCTGTCTCTCCACTAGAAGATTATCCTGGTTTAGCCAAGTCCTCAGTTTCAAGTATGTATGTACAGAATGTCTAGGTAGAGCTTGGTTATCATGTTAAGCAAACTAATAGGCTACAATTTATTGGGATATCTATCCCCCATTTTTTTGAAAAGGGGAACTAGGCCCCTATCCCTAGGGGGCCTAATTATAGATGTCATCAATGCCACCAAGGTAGATGTCTACGAGACAGGGTTATTATTAATTAATTCATGATATACTAAACCATTGTCAGTAGTCTTCCCTAAACTTAATTGGGTAATTAACTCTTTAATGTTTAATGTAATGGAGGCCAAACTGGTAGATCTAATGGAGGCCAAACTGGTAGAATATCAAAGCATTTTTTGATCTGCTGCATGATAGTTGTACAATTTTCTAATATACTTTTCAGGTGGAATACAACTATTCATAGAGTACAGGCCATTTTTAGGTTGGTCTGCTGTTATGGCCAAAATAAAGACAAGTTCTTATTTCTTTGTGCTTGTGCAAGACATGCATAGATATTTTTAATAGCAGTGTTTGTCTTATATTTGAGATGTTATTTATAAAGCTGTTTTTACTTTAGAAACTCTTTACTGACATTACACTTGTGTTATCTCTAGGAGCCTTATAATACACAATAAACATTTTTGGTTTCCATTCATTCTTTATCAGACCACAGCTTAGAGTGATACTTGTATTATTTAGATCAGCCAATATTTTACCGGGGTAGTAATTTTTGTAAAATTGGCCCTGTTTATCATAAGGCTCTAAGATTAATTTAGGAAACTGCAGATAAAAAAAAAGAGATACTAACTTGAAATCACTCTAAGAAGTATTGCTGTATTATTACCCTGTCCTGCTGGAGAAATCACTTAATATGACATAATCACCCCCCTGGAAAATCACGTGGGTGATATAAATCTTCCACATAAAATTGAAGAACAATAAATTTTAAACAGAAAAAGAGTGGAAGTGATCACACTCTCAAATTGAGAAATAATTACAGAGTGAAGCAAGTTACCTGAGAAGATACTGAGTGAAGCAAGTTACCTGAGATGCTTTTGATCCCTGCCCAGCAAGTATATTCTGCTGGATGATCATTTTGAAAAGAACTATTTAAAATGTGTAGATAAAGGGTAGTGACCCTCATAATTTGCCAACCTGTCCTTTAATTTATGAATCAAGGAGAGAGCATCTGCTTTAAGATTAAGTGGGCAAGCCTGATATCTAACATTTAAGTATTGTCATCTGGATCTAGCCTGCTCTGAAATCACCTGAAATATTTGAGAAGCATTATTAGATCCAATATTAATAACCATAATATTAGCTAGAACAATATTGCAGGTCAACTGTTTTATGACAAAAACAAACAGATTCAGACATGTGTCCTGCTCCTGTTTCTGCATATTCAGCCTAAAGTGCTATTAATATTAATTGCTTTCTGGAAAACAAAATAGGCATTAGTAGGATGGCCAATCATACAGAATTGCAGTAGACAGTGCAGTTTTATTAAATGTTGTCATTTATCCAACTCCACCCTTTGGTAGGCTTGTCTTTTTATAGAGCTACCATATCTAGGTTGCAAAAATCTGGACAAGAAAGAGTTAAGAATTGTCTGTATCTAGGGATTTTTGCAGTCCAGACTGAGGAACCCACTTCTCCTAACGTGATCAGAGGATGAGACTGTAAGGCAGCAAAAGAACACACAGTTACAGGACTGGCTTGGCTGGTCTCCAAAGGGGCATATGGTGGTGAAATAGAACAGGTGACCGAAAAGGAAATGGGTGAAACAAAACAAATGGTTGAGGTATGAAGCAGCTTCAAAGCCCTTCTTCATTGTCTTAGTGCAATTTTTAACAGTTTATTACCAGAACAGGTGAAGATGCCATGATCAGATAATAGAAAAGCCAAAAATCCCATATGCATGTATAAAGGAGAGAAGAGGGGCAGTGAAAGTGTTTATGTGACAAGTATATGTATGTTGGAGGGGTGGGCAGGGAAGAAGTTCTATAGATTTGGTGATCTATACACATTTAACATAATTACTGGATATATATTTAGTTGGGAAAAATAAAGTATCTTTTCTCTCATCATGTCCTCTGTTCTTAGACTATTTTAATGGCCATGAACGGTGCTAACAAAATACTAGCCATGCCATTTTCTTCTGGAAACTCAGAAGCTAGCAGCTATTTAAACAAAGATGGTAAGTCAGTTTTCATTTTTATTTTTATTGAACAGTCACAATATCCAGACATAAACTTTAACAGAAATCAAAATTACAAAAATAAACCAGAAACAAAAACAATCAAATAGAAAAAAGATGTTAATGTTGTTACCTCAGGAATATACAATTTTTAATATTGGTACAATTGAAGAGAATATATACGATTAAAACTCAGTGTTTAATATATTTATCCAAAATGACATCTGGGCTAATGGGGAAATCTATCAGCAAAAGTTTATTAATGTAATTAATATTTGATGTCCACATGTTCATTCGAGGACATTCCAAACTATTTTGTTGCTCAGCTAATTTTTCTGCCAATTCAATTTCCCTCAGTTTAGAAAACTGTTGAGACAATGACTCATGTGCTTTCATTTTCCAATTCTTTTCAATAACAAATCTGGCTGCTAACAATAAAAATTGAATTGGATTCATGCAACACTTTTTAATTCATTGTATGAAATACAGACAATAATCCCCTTGTAGGACTTGTTTTAAATCTTGTATGATTTAATCAAGTTCATGAAAAACCTTTGACTAAAACTTTGGCTAACTGGACATTCCACCAGGGATGAAAGTATGAGCCAATTTGCTTATAACCTTGCCACTGAAATTTAAAAAGAAAATTATGAATATAATTTTAATGGAGTACAATTCCAGTGACTTTTTTTATTGTCATTTCCTATGAACGCTGAAATAAATTTAAAAGTTTTTCATGGAGATTCATCAAGACCATAACTTAAATCCTTTCCCCAGTTTTTATGGGAGCAGCAAGAGGAAGTAATAAAACATGTGGTACAATATTGCAACAAATCCAACCTCTGCACATATTTCCATGTGACTTTGCAATGCAAGCATGAAAGGGTAGAACTTGCATTGTGCGGTCTCAAGGCACATTTCGCCATGATATGTCCCCAACCTGGCCCTTCAATTCTTATATGATGCATACATCGTCACTGTAATTTAGCCCACCCACTTTGCTGCTGATCATCCTCTTCTCTTTCCTTCCACTTTTCCCAGCCTTACGGACTTCTCAAGGGACCTGGGTCTTCACATAACATGTCCAAAATATGATAACTGAGCCTGATCATTTGTGTCATGAGTGAAAACTTTGGGTTGATTTGTTCTATGATCCACTTCTTGGCTATCCATGGTTTTCTCAGGAGTCTTCTCCAACACTAAAGTTCAATAGAGTCAATATCCATTCCATCCTGCTTCTTCAGAGACCAACTTTCACTTCCATAGGGTATTACATGAAAAACCAGAAGAAAGGAAGGATATCACTTGTTTTATTTTGGGTTTGTTTCTACTGCCACCACAATATATATTCAGTAGTGACAATTTTATTATCTATGGTTACATCACTATCTTGATAAGTCCTCTATATTCCCCTTCCTTGAATTAGCTCATACTCCAATATTGGATGGCCAAGAAATGAGATAAAAGAAGTCCAGTTATAGATCATTATATGATTCCATCTTATTACAGTTACAATAAAACAGTTATAACTAAGGAAAGTTATAGGTTAACAATTGCTTTTATAAGAGGCTGAAATGTCTGTTCATTTGATGCTTGTTCTAAAAGTATGAATGAATTGTCTCATTAGAGATTTATTAGCATACTCTTTCATCTCTAATATTGTAGACCTCCATTTTGCTTTTGTTTATAATGCAAGCTTGTCTGATTTGACATTTTTATACTTATAATATGAAAGACCATTGCTTTATCCTATTAAGCCAATTAGTGGGCATTTATATTAGGAGATTTTTTAAATAGAAACAAAATTATTTGAATAACAGTCATTTTAAACATTGCTATCCTTCCAAATAATAATATATGATGCCATGTTTTTAATTCAGTCTTGATTTTGTGTAACTGAGGTTCATAACTGCATTTTTTATTTGTTGCCTGTCCTTTGTAATAATTATTCCTAAATATTTAAATCCACTGGGGCTAATATGCTACACAGTATTTTTTTTCTGAACTTACCACTTTAATGCTCTTATCAGTGTTAATTAACTTGATAGATGATTTTTCAATATTTCTTTCTAGTAATGTGACTTCATAGCATAATGCAGCTCAATTTCAGCCAGAATATTTCTCTCTTTGGATTCTTAAATAAAAATAAGCATAACATCTGTGAACAAATTAATTACATGATGATATGTTGCTATCTTAAGACCCCAAATATTCTTTTTCCCAATATTTTGTGTTAATACCTCTGTAATCAAAATAAGTTAAAATAGTTTGGTCCTTTTAATTTTTAATGTTCATAAATGTTATGAGGCAGGAATATAATATATTAATATAAACAAAACACCATTATACAATAATACATTGCAGCAATTCATCTTAGAACCTAGCTGAAAGTCTTAGCTTTATCTGAAACATTCATACGTGGACATAATGATTTCATCTGATGATCACTAAAATATTTCATGAGGTTGCATAAAAAATCTTGATGACAAGTTCATAACTGTCAGCAGTGATTTTAGAACATGATAAAATTGGAATTAAGAATTAGAAAATAATTGCCCCTGATAATTCCATATTCCTCAGCATATAGCTTTATTAAAATCTTATACTTGAAAGTTATAAGGATTGCTAAGAAATATCCAGTGAGATTAACAGTGCCTGTATGGGTCAGTTCAGAAGAAAACTGTGTTAAACTCAATGAAAATTACTTCAGGGTTGTAAGTGCAGGACTATAGCCTAAGGCAAAAAGCACTGCCCGCCATTCCTTGAGAAAATTATAACGTTTGTTGCCATAAGTGCCAAGCTCTAGCCTGCCACAGTCACAACACCAGTGACGGGTGCTGTCCTCACTGCTGTAGAGTGGGATGAGCTAAGAAAAGCCATTGGTGGATTTCCGGGCTTCATTTCTTCTTGAACAAGATGTCTGCCACATGCTAATGGGAAAACAACCCCAATATTTTCCTTGATGGGATGGGATGGGATGGGATGGGATGGGATGGGATGGGAAACTAGGGGCAGGCAAGTGTTTGAAATCCCTTGTTTGTCCAATTGTCCAGTTGCCTAACAGAAGGTTTTCAGATGTGGTGCTCTGTGCCTGGGCCCTGTTGGGGTATTCCTGAAGAGACAGCTAGGGCTCTAGAGGCAGGCCTGAAGAGAAGCAGAACAACCAATAAAAACAGATGACTGCAATGTACAGAGAGAGAGGCAACCAGGCAACTTATATTAAACATTCTTGCTAGACTTTAGGAACAGCATTTCTGATGTCAAGAACATGGATGAAAACCTTGGCCTACAAGTACCAGCAGCTACACCTTTACGCATTTTTTTAAATACTTTTCCACTTCTTAACTTTAGACAATAGTGGAGATACTGGAATTAGTTAGGGATAAAGAGAAGGGTTTAGGCAATACCATCATTTTTATAAAAGCTAATATGCCCAATACAGAAACATGCAGTGTTTTTTTTATGTTTCTGAAGTCTGCTCTAGCTATTAAATTATTAAATTGTTGTCAAGATCAATCAGCCTAGTCCTGGATGGAATCAGTTCAGACTGACTGAAACATGGAATTTTTTCCTTGTTATCTTCAAGTTATTGTTTTTCAACTTATTTCACACACACACACACTGCTATTCTTCAACTAAGAATAATAACAAATAAAAGTATATGAGATTGTTTGCAACCGATTCTTAACTAGGGCCAGGGATTATTCTGAGTTTCTGAATAGAATAAATGAATGTGTAGAATTCATTTATTTAATTTATTTATTTAATGTGTAGCCCCACGCTTCTTTACTTCTTTTTCCCAATCTAATCCTTATTCAAATTAAAATTCCCATTTTGGCTTCTTTGCCATTTTCCATTTCTAATTCTTGTTTCTTATTTTCATAACTGTTCTTTCAGTACCAAAAAGTGGGTGCTTTTTGAAGAGAGAACCAATCGTCTTTCCTCTGTCATTAATTCTTTCATTGATAAGAATGTATAAGTATCCTAACTGTCACTACTTTTTTCTTTTTTTGGTAAACCTGACTTTAATCTTGATAATATATATATGGCATGTTAATATTTTAGGTTTCAAATATTAATAAAAATCTTCTAAATGGATTATAAGTGAATACATCTTAGCATTTTTTTCTGGAATATCATTACCATTCTATGACTTCCTATGGAAACATGCCTGGAATAAATATATTATGGAATCATCTGAGTTAGGGTGGCCCACTCTGGTCCATATAAATTTAATTATTTATAGAACATCTATTTTTTAGACTTGGTTTTTGTTTTGAGGATGTCAAATTTTCTTTAGTTCATGCTTTTCATTCTGTGTATTCTGATTGTATGGACCTTGAAAACCAAGAAACCTTTTTTTTTTTTTAATATAAGCTCCATCAATGACGAGAACACCTCCAGAACTACTTACTGAACTTCATTTGCTATTCCCCAGCAAGCAGAGAATGAATTCTAAGCTGGGTGTTTTGTCATCTGGCACCCAAACTCATCTAAATGCCCATTGGTTGGTGAGACTTGCATGTTATATACCAGTGGAAGGTTATAATGAAAAATCTAGGAATTAATTCTGGAGAAAGTTGTGCAACATGAATGCATGGGATCTGGAGGGAGAGGGTTAGAGTTATTTTGTTAGGTGCTGTGAGTGGATGGATGGGAATAAAAAAATACAGGGGAAAAAAGTGTAAATGGGATATTAGGAGATCCAAGAATGAATGAGAAGGGTGATTGTTCACTTATTATCTGCTTAGAAAAAGGTTTGTTTTGAATACCTGGTTTAACATAAATTTATTCATGCATATATATGGCAAAGACATCTAATCTAAAAATATGATGGATTTAATTATGATGACAGATTAAGAGAATTAGAAATATACCAAGGTGATAAGCTGTTCTTGGTTTTAGTTCTTGGTTTTCGTTTCATTTTTATGATTTTATGGTTTTATGGTTGGTAGTTTTATTACTGTTGTGAAGCACCTAGAGTTGTGTTTTAAGATGAGCAGCCATACAAATCTTTTAAATAAATAAATATTAGGAAATGCTGCAACAGATTAAGATAAGAGAAAGATACATATAATGTGTCTAAAGAGAACAAGTTGCTACGAAGTTAATCAGAGGGAAGAACAGTTACTGTTAAAGAGGCAGAGACTATGCAAGAGGAGATTTTGATGGAAATTTAAAAAATAGTTTCAGAAGTAGGTGAAAAGGGCTAAACAAAGGTCCCCCAGCAGAGTGAATGGGATTAAGAATAAAAGTGATGGAATGATTTGGGATGAAATTGAAATGAGAGAATGTAGGAAGCAGTATTTTAGAGATTTGCTTACAAATTATCGTGATATGCTAAAGAGTAGAACTGAAATGAATGAGCATCGTTGTCTAAAAAAAAAAGAAAGTGGAAAAGAAGTCCTCAATACTGTGAGAATGCTGAAAAATGGTAAGATTGAAGGTGTAGATGATGTAATTGGAGGAATGTTAAAACATGATGTGGCTTGCTTATGGAATGGCTGTGAAAATAGTATATAACATCTGTGAAGACTGCATCTGTGCCTAGCAATTGAAAGACTGTGGTTATTGTTCCCTTATTCAGAAGGAATGAAAGAAGAGTAAATAAAGGGGGATTAGATTGCTAAGCATGACTGGGAAGGTATTTGACACAATTCTGATTGAAAAGGATATAAGAGGTGACAATGAACAAAAATTGGGATGTGTAATGTTGGGTAGAAGATGTGCAGGCTAAATTTTTTGCTCCTCAGCATATCAAAAGCGAAGTTTATTGTATATTTGTCGATTCAGAGAAACAGTGTGATAAAGCAAATAGGCTTGAATTATGTAATGTTTTGTGTAAATAAGGGGTTGAAAGTTGGTTGCTGAAGGCAGTAAAAGAAGTGATGGCCATAAAACATGAGTGACAATAAATCCAAAGCTTAGCGAATAATTGAACAGGGGAGTACAGCAAGCCTACATGATGTTCCTTTGGTCGAAAAAGAGAGACATAAGAAATATAAAGAATGAAATGAAATATATGAATCACTGTACAGATGTTGTGCAAGTATGGTTTGCAATATAGAAAACTATGATATGGTGTTGGTGCAGAATAGATTTCACTGTATTTCCTCTTCTCTTACTTCATGCTTTCTTTTTTTTTTTTTTTGGCTATTTCTTTCTTCTTTTTTGGCCTTTGCATAATTTGGCTTACCCCAAAAGGAAGAGTATCATTCATCTATATGTATGTATGTGTTCATTCTTGTCTTCTAATACCTTCTTAATACTTTAGTAGCTATTTGGAATTCTGGCAACAGAATCATATAACTATAATAGGAAATCACTCAAAACAAAATTATTTACAATGGGCTTGTAATGGATAGTTTGTGCCTTCAACAAGTCCCTGCAGTTTTCTTGGCAATAGTTTTGGAACTGGTTTGCCGTTGCCTTCTTTGTAGACCTGAGAGAGAATGATAACCCCAAAGTCACCCAGGTAGCTTCCTGTCTAAGGCAGGACTAAAATGTACTGTCTCCCGATTTTTAGCTTAATGACCACTATGCCCATCTAGCTGTCTGCAATGGATGTTACCATCTGTTTATTTATTTGTTGTGTTTTCTGGCTGTTCTTATGGTTTTTATTTGACTATATTTTATTGTGGTTCCAATGATATTTTCTGATATTTTAGATTTATGTTTTATACAATATATGTTTTATTGAAATTTGATTACTGTAACCAGCCAAGAATCTATCAATTGCACCAGAAGTAAATTGAACAAATAAATAAATGTGTAAGGAAAAAAGCTCCCCCTCCCCAAATAATTACTTTTAAATAGCAGATACTATTTAAAATCAGCTGCAAAGACACTACCTCTTGCCTTTAATTTCTTTGGCTCCCTACTTTTCACTCATAGTGCTTTGCATAACACTGGTTAGTCTGAAAATGAATAGTGTGATAAGCACATATGTAGGTCTTAGTGGATTTCCACTGCTGTTTCAAATATATTTGGAAAGGTAAATTTGGATTTAGGACTAGCTGAGAAGATCCTTTTAACTTCAGTTTTTATCTTATTAATGTGCTACTAAATTCAGTTTTAAAAACTGCTGGCTGGGGAATTCTGGGAGTTGAAGTCCATGCATATTAAAGTTGCTGAGGTTGAGAAACACTGCTATATTTAATTAAGAAGAAATTATTTGATACCTTTGCAAATTTGACTAACTTGAAGAGCCTTTTCTTGGATAAGTTAACCAAACGTAATAAACTGAAAGCTAATAATAAGCAGTGGTGGTCTGTTGTTCTGTTTCTGTGGTCTGTTTTTTAATAGGTCCTTCCTGGAATTGATCTGGCTCTACTGATTTGTGTATTAATCTTGTTGGGTGGGTAGTGCAGTCTCCTGAATGCCTGGTTTAATTCCATTAGTTGAGCATCTCTGTCATGGGTCAGAACAAATGCAGTTGTAATAGAGGCCTTGGCTATCATTGATAGATTTGATGCTGTCTTCTGGGTGGAAGCTGGAATCATGCAGATATGCATGGCAATCTGTAAATTTTCTGTATAATGTGTCACACAGTCTGGTGGCAAGGCATGTTGTTTTGGCATCAGTGATGATGTACATGATGGCTTGAAGTCCATGTAGGTGGGAGTTGATATATAATACCTCAATATCTATGGCAGCTAAAATGGTGTTGTAGGAAATTGTTTATGGAGTTCAGTTTTCTTAGGAAGTATGTGATGCCTCTGTGATGCCTTCACATGTGATGTGAAGTAGGTGGGAGTGCTATTGGTGTAAGGTCTGAGCACAGAATCCTCAGTGATCCAAGGACTCTTGAACCTTGGCCTCCTAATCCCTAATCCAATCTACATCACATGATGCTGATGTAATTTCATAGAAAGTTGTTCTCTGTGTATCAGAACATTTGTCCATCTGGCTCATCGCATCTGGTTTCCTATAGCAAACGTGGAGAAACTTTGGCCATGCAAATGAAACTGGGCTGGCAAGCCACTCAACTGGTCCATGAGGTTTGAGTAAAATATTTGATAACCCTGCCCTTTCCATGACATCCTGTGAAAAACTGTGGCTGAAGGTACTGACCATGCCTTAGATATCTTGCTTCATGCATTGGTAAGTCTTGAACCAGGCAGAGTATCCCTCCTAGATCTCCCCCAAATGTAAAAAGTAGAAGGGAGGGGAGGTATTGGTCTGGCCATATAGAAACAAATCCAAACACACACACAGACATGAAAGAAGTATCAATTTACTAAGGGGAAGTTTCTGGTTTAGAGAATATAATTAAAAACCTCCTAAACGGTGGGAGGAATCCACATCCTAATACTACCCTAAGATGAATGAGCTAGCTCAGTGGGCTCAAGTTGATAACAAATTGTTGGGTGGGGGAAAAAATGAAAGAGGTAAACGAAGCAAACTATGTCCTGAACAGAAATACTGTTTATTATTTTGTCACACTGAAAGATTTTGTTGCAGGTCATAGTTCCACAATATATTCTATATCACAATCTTTTACATGTTTGGAATGCATGCAATGGCCTGAAAAAGGGGAAATGCATTTTTTTTACCTTCCTGTTACAGATATTTTTATTGCTTGATTGTTTCTACCATAAACAGAAAAACTGTTGGATATATTTGCCTTATGGCATGACCAAACACTGCCGATGATAAACGTTTGCATTTCAAGTAAAGAGGGCTTCATTAAAGTGAATGGAAACAGATTACCAGAGGTAAATTGAAGGAAAGAAAATCCTAGAGTAATATTAGCTGAATATGCAAATGGAAGAATTCCCCTTTTTCTTCAGATACAGAAGTATGCTATCTCCTTCCTGTTATTTTCCAAATTTTTCAAATTTATACATGGCCTATTGCTGGGGGACCCAATTAAAAGGCATATTTTCATTCCCAAAAGATCTTTCCTCCCTCCTTCTGACAACTTAGCTAATATCCATCATTCTCCTTGTTGGGAATAGACAACTATAGTCATTTGGCCAAGGAAAACTTATGGACCTGTGTTAATATTTCTGAAGACCTTTTTCTATATGAGACAGTCCCAACCCAACTGATCAATACTCTATAGCAGTGTCTCTCAACCTCAGCAACTTTAAGATGTGTGAACTTCAACTCCCAGAATTCCCAAGCCAGCATGAGTTGAAGTCCACACATCTTAAAGTTGCCAAGGTTAAGAAACACTGCCCTAGAGAAATGGCACGTTTCCCCCAAAGTATCCTGTACATAGTCCAAACGTCACAAGCAAAACAGATCAAACATAGACAGTTGCTATGAGGAGGCAACCAACCCAGAATTTAAGAGGTAAGCTGGAATAGAATCCCTTCCCATTCCTGTAACAGCAGCTAACACTGGTTCTATAGCAATCTACACCAACATAGCAATTTAATGCACACAGTACACTGGCATGTAGTATGGTCACACAGGTGAAGACAATTGACTAATCCACACTTCCTTCTTGTCAAAGCTTGAGGACAGCCCACCGACATCCTTAGCCTGCCACTAGCCTGCTGGGAAGTTGACTTCAATCTGAGTTTTCTGGGTCCACATCAAAAGTAATGTTTTTTCCTCTCTGCTAGGGGAAGCAGGGCAGTGCAGTCCACTGGATATGCTTCATTTCATAATATAAATGTCTCCATTCCACCTGGCTGGTGTTGCTTTAGTGGCTCCCATCTCCCCCAGTGCCTTCAACAATAATTTTGTGCTGGGTTGCTAATAATCATGTACTGCCTACCATGAACAGCTGGACCTTTCAGGTTCAGTAGTAGAGCGTATAATACCCGCTGTTCTTCTTCCTCTCTTTTTTTCTTTTTTTCCTGGATGAAATTGACAAGAGTTTTGCTCAGTTCCCCCTTCTAGACCAGGTGACAGGAAGATATGTAAAACTCTGACATTTTTTCTTACCAGTTCTCCAAAGATGTGACTACAGAAGTGAAAGCAACTGTGCTTGCCTTCCTAGTATGGATGGGAGGTGAAAAGAAGCAGGGATATCTACCTTATCACCGTGGCCAACGTGAAGGAAGGGTTTGAAATTTGGAAAGGAATTTATTTTAAGCCACGCTCATTTCCAGCTGGATTACATATAGGAGACAAGCAACTGAAGGCTGCAGTGTGGAAAAGTCTGGAGAATCAAAAGAAAGTGGTTCTCACTTTGGTCTGTTTAAGTCAAGTCTGTATTCTTCCCTCCCAGATGCTTTGTAATGGCTGAAAAGGGAGTCACATCCATATCCACTCAATGCAGTCATAAAAAATGCCTTCTTGTTTAAGCAGGGTTGTTGTTGCTATTATTGTATTGAACAGCTGTTTCTTTTCACTGGATTTGATAGGTGCTGAAAGTAGGTTACAGAATATATTTCCTGTAGGATGAAACAGGGATCCTCCTTAGCAGTGGTGACTCTATCAATTCTAGAGGCTCCCAGTTTCTCTTTTTGCAAATATTTCAAGTTTGGTTCAAGTTTCAACTTGAGATTGGTTAGTTGGTTAAATGACCAGGCTCAAATTATTCTACTTTGGACACATTATGTAAAGGCCTAGCTCTCTGGAGAAGGCTTTAATGCTGGGAAAGGTGGAAGGAAAGATAAAGAAGAGGATGACTGCAGCAAGGTGGATAGATTCAGTTACGGTAGAGATGAGTGCATTATTTGAAGAACTGAAGGATCAGATTAGGGACAGATCATCATGGAGAAAATCTATCTATGTGGTCGCTAAGAGTCAGCAATGACTGATGGCACATAATCGTCATCATAAAAATTAAAATGTAAACTAAACAACTTTCTCATCTATCCCTAATGCTGATGGCTTCTAAAGGAAGAAG